AGAGCATGCAGTGCTCCCAGAGGCCAGAAGAGGGCGTCAGACCCCCCCAGAACTAGAATTACAGACAGCTGTGAGCTGCCGCACCAGGTCCTCTGTAATAGCAACAAGTGCCCTTAACTAGTGAACTACTGCTCCAGCCCCTCAGCTAGTCTCTAAAAGTCTCAGGCCATAGCTGGAAGGTTAAGTGGGTATGTCATTTTATATCTGGGTACTCCCTGAGATCACCTCCTACCTTGCTCTTTCAGGTCATCAGTCCAGGTAGCAGCCCATGGCCTGTTCGGGCAGCCACCCAGGTATGACAGAATCCAGTGGCCCATTCTCCATGAAGTGTTTTGTGGTGCAACTTCCTGCTTTGGCCCGGCAGCATGGTGCCTCCTGTGACGGAGGAATGGACCCTAAGGATGGGACTTCCTGTCTCCCTCTTGTCTAAGAAGACACAACTGTATTTTTTTGCATCTAAGGACATCAGTGTGACTCTGGGGCTAAGAGAGCCACCTGCAGATGGGTGAACGTGGTTGGCACAAACTCAGAACATCTGACGTGTAGGGCTTGCAGTTTAGCTCCAGGCTAAAAGGCGAGCCTGGCCTTCTCCTGCCACCCTTCCCCACCTCCTCCTGGCCACATTCCCTCAGCCTCCAGAGGCTCCCATCATCTAACACATCAGATCTTGCATGGATCCCATTCCCCACTCCCTCCCCCATCTTTGTTTTGTTTGACTAAGAGTCTCATGTAGCCCAGGCTGGCTTCAGACTTGTTAGCTAGGCCAGGCTGGCCCTGAACAAGAGAGTTCTCCTGCCTCCATCTCCCAAGTGCTGGGATTGCAGGCATAAGCCCCCTCACCTACCCCTTACATTTTTTGTTGTTGTTGTTGTTGTTGTTGTTGTTGTTAATGAGAAAGAATCTCATAGCCCAGGCTGGTTGGCCTCCCACTTCTCAGTCTTCCTGCTTCACTTTCCTGGATGTTAAGATGACGGCCACACACTACCATGGCTACTCTCTCTGGCTTCTATTGCTAAGTTTTTCTATGCCTGTACATAGTGCTTAGACATCATTCGGTCTCTGCATTTTAACCTTTGAGGCCTGTGGTTTGACCTCTGTTAACCCCTGTGACTTCCCTCCCCGAGACTACTTCTCCTTAGGCCTTCTGCCAGCCACACACACCCCTCCTCCAGCTCTTTGTCTCTAGAGTTTGCTCTGCCTGGACACTTCTCTTTCCCACGTTATTGATTTATCAAGGCTTGCAGTAGCCGTTAGCACATCAGAAGGACAACCCCTCCCCCAGTGAGGATGAAGAGGTCCCACAGTCCCCGTCCCTTCCATCCTGTGAGTGCATAATGACAGATATCAGTAAGTGTCCCTCTCTGATCTGGAGCTCAGGGAGCCACACATCACACCATTGTCCCAGCAGAAACAGCCTGGCACACAGCAGGCACTCAATAAATACCCATGGACTGATGAAATGTTCTGCTGCCTCTGAAGGGCTACTGGTGTTGCTACTATCCTTGGCAAGATATATCTTCCTCTCTCTCTCTCTCTCTTTCTTTCTTTTGATTTTTCGAGACAGAGTTTCTCTGTGTAGCCTTGGCTGTCCTGGACTCACTTTGTAGACCAGGCTGGCCTCAAAGTCAGAGATCCATCTGCCTCCCCAAGTTTTTCAACAAGAGTTCTCATGGGAAATTTAGAGTTACAACAGAGAGGATCCTTATAGCTACAGGCAACATACAATCAGGCATCACAGTACAGGGTAATACAAACACTTGGGAGGTTGGGGTAGGAGGATCACATGCCCAAAGCCAGTGAGGGAGACCTTGCTTCGAAACACCAAGGATGTGGCTCTGTAGTAGAGCAGCTACAGAGAATCCACCAGTGAGGGGTTGGGGATGGAGCTCAGTGTTAGAGCTCCTGTCCAGAATCTGCCAGTGAGGACTGAATACGGGGTTCAATCCCTAATACTATACATGCAAAAAGAAAGAAAGAAAAACAAAATTTTTTGTGCCTTTTTTTTTTTCCTCACTGCCAACAGAAAGCCCGACACAAAGTTAGCTTATATAAACGCAGGCTTTATTGCTTGTGTGTGGGAGCGTGGGCTTCAGGTAGGCTTTGCTCCAGCTGCTCTAATGACTGCTTATAGACTGATTCTCTAGCCCCGCCCTTTGCTTTTTCCTGCATTGCTATCATTCTCTCAGTCATATGCTGGCCTCTTCCTCGCTGCTACCTGCATAGCCCTCCCTACTCTGCATAATAGATAGAGCTACCTGCGCGCTTAGCCTGTGTAACCCGCAGAAGAACCTGCCTTCCTGGAGTCAGTGTGCCTTCTCATTAGCATCACTGGGTCACGTGATCCTGTTTCTGAGCCAAACATGCGTGGGCTCTGCTGAGGGGTGCAGCCGTTCCAAGTTCAGTTTCCTAACAGGCAGAGGTAATGATGGTGCTGGGCATCTCTACCACATGACCACAGATCTTTGCCACTGGCTTGTCTAAATCCTCAGTGACATCGACTTCCACAGGCAGGGACTTTGGAAAAAGGCGTTTATTGGTGCGGTGGTCTCAACACTCCCCATGAATCGGAACACACGGCCCCCAGGGCCCCCCTCCCGCCTCCCCTGGTAGCCCACCCCCTCCCCACCCCTTCCCGGACCCTGGGAATGGAAGACAATGTGGGATCGGGCCCACGCCCCCGTCTGAGGTACAGTCACTGCCCCTTGCCTCCCTGCCCTTCTCTGCCCTCATCTTCACCAGGCTCTGAGTGGTGTGGTTTTGGGTGTGTGGTTACTGAAGTTAGGGCTGGGGGCATGGTGCCTCTGCCTGGGCTCAGGATGTCTAAGTGTCTGCTCTCTCTCCCCAACTCCGTGAGGCCTGGTGTGTATCAGGGTGGGGTGTTCTCAAGCCCAGAGCCTGTCAGCTTCCTCTGCGGATAACAGTGGCCCACTCTGCAGGAACTACTGCTAGTCACAGGCTCTGGGGCAGCTGAAGCCGGGAGCTATTGCTGGTCAGTCGCTGGTGTGTGTGCGTGCATGTGTGTGGTGTGTGTGTGTGTGTGTGTGTGGTCACAGCAGCCTTTGGAGGTACTATGGATTGAGAGGCCAGGAAGCGGGTGGCCAGGGAGCCCACGCTTATGGGCCTGAGAGCTGCTGGAGGGTGCCACTGTGGCCAAGGGGAGTCGAGGGTGGGGGGCGGACAAAGCACTGAGACAGACGGGTGACAAGTGCCACCAGCCTATCAGTTGAATGGAAGCACCGATCGGCCCGGGAGTGGGGCCAGAAAGTTCAGGGTGGGAGAGGAATGGGGCAAGGGAGGCTTCAGGCCACTGAGCCAGTGATGGGGCCTCCAGCTGCAGGCAACTGGTGATGGAGCAGGGAGAAAGAAACTGTAATGGAGATCCCCACTTGTTCACAAAGGCTGAGTGACACCTGACACCCACACACCTGCCCCTTCAACAGGGAGGAGAGGGGTACGTGTTCGTGCATATATGGGAAGGTGGAAAGCTGGCAATTTCTTGTCAAAGCTTCCACCATGAAGCCCCCATACCTACCTCCAGCCAGAGGAAGAGAGGCGGCAGGAATGGACAGGGGCCATGGGAGAGTGCCAGAGAGGGAGGTCCCCTGGTTCCCTCCCCCAGCACACCTTCACACAGTACACAACATGCAGACTCACACTCACTCACACACATGACATACGCACTCACACACACGAGCCAGTTGACAGCCTGAGCTAAGAGAGGGTTTCGGGGTGCCTGGGGGTGGGTCACAATTGGAAACGTGAACGGTGGTGAGAATGGCTGTAAAAGATGCATAATTTCGCGTTATCCCTCACAGTGATGGGTTCTCTAAAAGACCTTCCTCCTCCTCTTCTCTCTTCCTCTGTGGCTAAGAGCTCTTCTGTCCCCCTCGAGACCCGTGGCGCTCGCTCACCCCCTTTCCCTTTCTCCTGGCCCGAGGCCCCTGCTGGGGGGAGGTGCGCTGTCCTGGGTGACATCTACATTCTCCACCACAGCCAGCTCAGGGCGGAGAGGAGGGCCAGGGGCCCTGGGGGTCTCGGAGCTGAGTTCTCCAGGGATCCTGGACCTGGGAAAAGAGAAACAGTCACAGAAGGATGCTGGCATGGCCAGGCCCTGCAGCCCTCTCCTGGGTGCCTCTCTCCCTCCAGCTTTTGATCAACTCCGGGGCTTGGTTCCTTATGCTGCCTCTTATGTTTTGGGTCTCAATATGCTCTCAGATCTTCCCCACTTCTTTTACATTGCTTAATCTGGATCCTTGGGGTTCGTTTTTCCCTGTTAAAAATTTGGTCAGCATTTCTACCTTCTCAGTCCACCAGAAACTTCAGTATGGCTATTTTGTATGTGTGTGTGTGTGTGTGTGTGTGTGAGAGAGAGAGAGAGAGAGAGAGAGAGAGAGAGAGAGAGAGAAAGACTTTGCTTTGCTGGGGATGGGATGTTCTGATTTGCACACACTAGGAAAATGTTCTTTCTACCCCTGCACCATACTCCCAGACCCTCATTGGGGGATCCAAGTGCTAAGCTACATCCTGACTTCTCTCTACTTTCTGTTCCACAACAGGGTCTCACTAAGTTGGTGAGGCTGGATTTGAACTTTCAATCCCCTTTCTTTAGCCTCCTGAGTATCTGCGATGACGTCCTACAATACCAATCCCTGGGGCTCAGAGTCACTTTGACTCAGCTTCTCTCTTTGCTCACATCCGCCTGAGCTCTGCCTCCAAACAGCTTGGGAAGTTAAGCAGCCTCCCTGCCACTCTGTCCTAGTCTGTCCCTCAAAAAGCAGGACAAGTGCTTGCAGCCACAAGTTGCTCACTGTCTACCAGCCTCCAGCGACCTTGGCCAGGGCCCCCATCACCCCATCACCGCTCTGCGCTTTGTCTCTAACAGCAGCTGAAGGCCGCCCTCCTTGAAGGAGTACCCTTCCCATAGGTCTTTGCAACCACTGTTCCCTCTTTTCCTGCTTCTTTGCACAGGGCTCCCCCTCCTCCGATGACCTTATCTCAAACCTGCCGCCCACAGTTCTGCCTATCTTTTTGCACGTGTACCTGTTTCTTTGATGTGCGTCTATCAGCCCACTTGTTTACTGTTTTTCTACTAAGCCGTGGGAGTCCCCAGACCTTGAACTCAAGTGTTTGACTTCCTGCCTTCCCTTCCTGGGTGCTGAGATCACAGGTGTGCACTACCATGCTGGCTTTAAATACTCGGAACCCTGCCACCTGAGAATCAGTTTCTTTGTGGCACTGCCGGGGTTTCCTAAATTCTGGCCCAGAGGATACCCTTGTATTTCCGGCTCCGGGTCCCACCCACTGAGGTCTGGGACCCCCCCGTGCTCCGCCCCCACAGCCCTGTCCCACCCCGCCGCCCGGTGCAGACGCACGCAGGAGCCGCATGGAGGCGCTGGATGCTCCCAGCCGGTTGGCTGCGCGACAGGTGTAGTTGCCGTAGTGCCTGGCGCTCACGTTGGCAAAAAGAAGCATGGATCGGGTGCGCTCCGTCTGCACCTTGAGGCCCTCCGCCGAACCGCTGCTTAGCCTGACGGGGACCCGGATCAGGGTTGGTCTTGGACTCCCTTGAGGTGCACAACCCAGTTCCCCCACGTACACTCAGGTTCCTCTCTTCTCCCAGGAGACCCCAGCTCTGCTACGGACCCCAGGGACTCCTAGCTTCGCCCAGCATCCCCTCTCCACGCACCCGGGCCTCTTTAGTACATTCCCAGTGTGCGTCCTTAATCCCCAGGGTCTCTTAAACTCAGCCCCGGTGGCCTCTTTAAATTTGTCCTTCAGACCCTTAGCATCGACCCTCCCTCCCCTTCTCCCTCAGCCCTGCCCGGGGCAGTCCTCACAGCCTGTCATCCTTGTACCACTGGAAATCTGCAGGCGGCACCGCCATGGCTTCGCAGCGGAGGAGAGCAGCCCGGCCCAGGGCGGTGCGCGCGCTGGTCACGTCGGTGATGGTCGGGGGATCTGGAGAGAGACAGAGGCCAGGGCACATTCTCACTGCATGGGAATTCCGGGGTCCCGTTTTAGCGCGCGCACACCCCTCAGATGCGAATTCCCACCTAGCTTTCATCTTCATGCGTCAGACCCCTCCTCCCCAGGCACCCAGGGTCGGCCCGTGTGCCCCCTTGATGCTCACAATTCACTGTGACCAGCACGCGGCGGCTGTCCGGTGCCGAGTTCACCCCGTTGTGAGTAACGCATTCGTATTCCCCGGCCTGGCCCCGCTGGATGTCGGAGATTTCCAGGATCTCGCCCTCTGAGGTGAAGCCGTCTGTGGTGGGAGGTGGGGAAGGGGGCGGGGCCGGACACAAACACTTAACACGGGACAACACGGGCACAACACGGACACACATCAGCGGGGTGGGCACAGCAGGGCCTGGAGTGCCCTGTAGGAGCCGGGAAGGTCCTGTAGGGGCAGGATGGGGCTGAGGGTGGGGCTGGGGAGTTCGAAACGCAGTGGAAAGGGCTCTGGGATTTGAGGTGCAGGAGACCTAGGGATCTAGAATCTCCTGTGTCATGTTCAGGGGACCCACTTGGGAGTAGGGGGTGAAGCCAGGATCTTGGTTTTTGGCTTTCAAGGATCCAGGAAAGGCAGACTGAAAGAGGGAGGGTCCAGAGTTCTCTTGGGGTTTAGGGAATTCGGATCTGATGAGTGAGATTGGTAATCCAGAGACCTGGGATCTTTTAAACAGACCTGAGGTCACAAAAGACCGTTTAGAGCTTATGGCAAGTAGGATTTAGGGGTCAGAAGATACCAAGAGGCAGGATGAAGGGACATGAGGCTAGACTAAGTTTCCAGCGCTTAGTTCATCCAAGGAACAGGACCCAGGGATGGTCACTATGGGTCTGTAAAGATGCAGGAAGAGCCAGAGACTGGGGCATCTAGGGGTGGAGATGAAATGGTGTCCTGGCCTGATATATGCCAGGCGGCTTGGAAGTACCTTTTGGGAAACTGGATCTCAGAACTCATTAAGCACAGTGTGGTTAGAGGGGGAGGGGAGCCCCTGATTGCCTCTGGATCTAGGGCAGAGGCTTGTGCATTTCTGGAAAATTCCCAGGAGCTGCTGATGCTGATATCTGGGCCCATTCAAAGCACTAGGCTGCAGCATCCAGCAGAGGAGAGGACCAGACTGAGGGGTAATAGAATGCAGGAGCAGCCTCTGTTTCAACCTGACTCAGGAGAATCCGTCAGGTGGAGGGAGGCTGGGCTGGGGAGGGCCAGGTCACCCAGGGACAGTCACACAGCCTGGACATCAGGTAGGAGACCACTAGATAAGGGAATGAGAGTCTGGGGAGGAATCAAGTCACTAGAAGGGCCACAAGGGTTCAGAGTGAGGGCCTCTGGGACTCCTAGGGACTTGGGAGAACCGAAGGGCCCGGATTACAGCTGGAGAGGATCCTCACCTCGGAGCTGTCTCCAGGTAACCGTGGGCTCTGGCCTTCCCACAGCCAGGCAGAGAAGGTTCACATTGCCTCCTTCATTCACCGCCACAGGGGAGGAGATGTTCACAATACGGGCGGGGACTGGAGACAGAAGGGGGTATCACGGAAGGGAGCGTTGGGGTGAGGATGTGTCCCTAGATCTCAGTCCCACCATTTCAGACCCAAGATCAAGGCCTGGTCCTCCTCTCCCAGACCCCCATCACAGATTCCTCCTTTCCTCTGTTAGACCCAGGGGTACAGGCTCAGGCTCTCCTCTCACTCAGACCCAGGGTATAGACTCCAGCCCTCACACCCAGGACTGCAGACACCAAACCTGTTCCCTCAGCCCCAGGAGTTCAGGCTTCCGCCATCCTCCCTCAGAACTGGGAGTAATACTCAGACTCAATCTCGTTTCTTCGGAGCCTGGGCTGCAGAGCCCAGTCCTCCTTCACACCACACCCGGGAGTCCAGACCACAATCCTATCTCATCAGGCCCAGGAGTCCAGACCTTAGCCCTCCTCTTCATACCTAGGGTGCATACCCTAACCCTCCTTCCTCATATCTAGGACAACCCCCCTCCCCCGCCTCTCCTTGGGAAATGAGTGCAAATAAAGAGAGACAGTCTGGTGTGTGTCTTCAGTGCCTAGGAAGTCCCACTCGCACAGCTCAGCAAATGCACAAAGCTGTAGTTGGGCGCCTCTTCCACTGCTTGCTGGGGAGCCACTGTGGTACCACTCACGCCTGGCTGAAATCCCCAAGGGTGAGGTGGGCCAGCGGTAGGCCAAGTGCACGCGGCCTCCCTGCCCCCTCCCACATCCACATCCTGCCCCCCCGCCTCGTCCTCACGGCCACACAGGCTCACCGTGGACGATGAGGTAGACCTGAGTGGTGTAGGGCTGGTGTCGGGTCTGGAAGGAGCAGGTGTAGAGGCCCTCGTCCCCGAGCCCCACCTGGGTGATGAGGATGGAGAACTCCTCCGGTGTGTTGATGAGCAGGCGAACCCGGGGGTCGCTGGTCCAACGGTCATTGCCCGCGTACAGGATGTTGGAGCGGTTCAGCCAGGCTACCCGGGTCACGTGCTCATCAATGAAGCAGCTGGAGGGGGCCAGGGAGAGAGAACGAGGGACAGTGAGCCAGGTGGGGGAGAGGTCCTAGTGAGGAGACAGGGCCCCAGGAACCAATAGCCCTTACTCCGCCAGCTTCCCTGCCACGAGTGGTCTGCGGGATTTTGAATCCTAGTAGTTCCCATCTCTTTGCTTTTACGAGGACAGGAAGGCCCGTGCGTGGAGCTCGGCTTAGTGTCCACACCCCTCACAGCTGGCTCCAGATGCAAGGGTTGTCACTCAAGGCCTTCACATGCAGGGTGGGAGTAGCCTTGTGAAGCCCCACGCTGCCCGGAACTGGGATGTACCTGAGGGTGGCATTGTCACCTTCGCACACTGTGTAGTTGTCCGCGGGTGAGCTGAACTCCAGGCTCTGAGACAGCAGCCCTGCAGAAGGGAGGGGATGGCTCAGCCTCCTCGGCAGCTCCATTCACGGGCGCACACACAGGCACACGGCCGCGCTGACACAGGCGTCTGCTTCCACTGCCACACGGATCTGTTGTTCTCAGAAATTCACACACAGTGGACAAACTCTAACTAGGTCAACACGCTGCGTCTGTCCCTTCCTCTCCGTGTGCTCTGACTCAGAAACAGAACTCATGGAAGTGCTCCCAGCCACAGCCCATCCACACGGACAAACATGCATGCAGAGAGAGACACGCCGGCACATGTGTGTCTAGACATGTGCACAAAGACACCTGTGCACCCAGACACAGACGTGCACATGTCAAACACAGTGACAGACATGCACACACATCCAAACACACAGCCACACAAGCATGCCGACCATGCTCACATGCCACGTGCTTAGAGACACGAGTGTGTACAGACTCCCAGTTATATAATACGGAAGTGTCCTCGGGCAGCGATTGCTGCCTTGATACCAGGCCGCCGCCCGAGGCGTCTGCAGTATCGGGCTAAGTGATGTTCCCTTGTGGAGCCGGTGCTCTCAGAGCGCTGGAGACAGCACGAGAATGGGCCATGCCAGCTCATAGGCACCTCCGGCGCCTCCTGAGGTATGGGGGGACAAGTCTTCTTTAATAGTGTTGCTGCCCACACACCTGTGAGTCACTCTCGCCCACGCACCTGTGATCAGCCCCATTTGAACTTTTCAGTCCACCACGCTGGGCTTGCATTTCAGAATCAATTCTCTGTGTCCTCTCTGGGGGGGTGGGTAGACATTTCTCTTTGTTGTTGCTTAGGTTATGCGTGTGTGTGTGTGTGTGTGTGTGTGTGTGTGTGTGTGTGTGTACACATGGGTGCCCTTGGAGAGGATGGCAATTCCCTGGAGCTGGAGTTACAGGCAGTTGTAAGCTGTCTGATGTGCATGCTGGGCCCTGAACTCGGGTCCTCTGCAGGAATCGCCCTCACTGTTGAGGCATTCACCAGCTCCATGGACACACACTTATCCCAGTCTCTGCAGGAAAAGTCACACAAAGCACAGACACCACACATACACACAGAGATGTGTTTATGTACAGACACAGGTAGCAACACAAACATACAAATGCTTAAGACTCTCATGCATGCACATATGCACCCACAGAGGAACATATGTGCACATTCACACACACAGACCGATATATAGTACACATGCACACACAGACACCGGTGCATGCAAGAAATATATTCCCAACAAATACACATGTGAGCAGGTTCCATACATGCACACAGATGCATATAAACACAGCTTAACTCAGACACAGAGGGAGCTATCCACAGATACCAAACATGGGTTTGTATGCACACCTGTAGGCAGCCTGTGTAGTTGAACACAAACCTTCACACACACACACACACACACACACACACGCACACGCACACGCACACACACCTGCCAGACACACTTGGCATGCCGCTGCTCACAGTACACGCCCAGGCCCGCCTGCACACAATGGGGCAGCCCAATCGCACCACCACTCAAGTCTCTGTGGCTCAGGGCCAGCGGGCTGGACGGGGGCCAGCGGGCGGGGGCTGGGTAAGTGAGGCGGAGGAGGCTGCGCTGAGAGAAGGTCTGGCTGGGTGACCTTGGATGATTGGAGCGGGAGGGCCCTGAGTGGGCTGCCCTGCCCCCAGCCTGGGAAAAGGAGCTAATTAATCTAATGAATTAATTGCCCGTGGTGTCCCAATGACTCCCTGGGGGCCTCTCAATCAACAGCCCCTCAGGATGGAACTAGGACAGAACCAATGGAGAGGCTGGCTAGGCCTGGGGCTTGGGTCTGAGCCCTGAAGCTTCCCAGCCTGAGGTCATCCAGGCCAGAGCCATTGCTGCTCTGTGAGAAGTCCACATACGGGACTCTGTCACACATGCTCAGTTAACAATAAGATGTGTGCACACATACACACTCTACCAGGGCCCAGGAAAAAAAGTCAAAGGCAAGGCTAAGCCAGCTTCCTTGTCATGCATATGTCTACAGCCTAGCTTACAGGGAGCCACAGCCCTGACAAACGCCTGACAGAAGGTCTGAAAGTCACAGACCAAAATACGCATCCAGAGTAAAGGAAGTGAGGGAATGTGACATTTGGTTCAGGAACTCAACCCCACAGCATGCCAAGCTCTTGTAGTGTCCTACGCAGGGCCCTCAACCTCTCAGCCCATGGAGGGCTGGAGGTCCCCTAGCTCCCCCACCCCACAGTAGTGACAACACAGGACACCCACAGATTTTGCCGGAAGTCTCCGGGGGATAGGTCATGCTCCACTCTCCGTTGCTCCGGAGAAAGACAGGTGGGGACCGGACCAGTGCGCTGTCCAAGGTGCTGGCCTTTAGAGCTGGCGTGCCACCCACACAGTGTGGGATAGAGAGCCTTGGGATGGAGTCGTCCTAGCCACATGAAGGAGCTCAGCTATGGCCCTCCAGAGAGAAGGACCAGCATGAGGCACCCCTTGCCACAGGAATCTTCCCAACACTGCCACTAACGGTTCTGGGGTCCCCAGTGGCTCCTGGGACAGACGTTTGCCTGTCAAGACCCCATGTCACCCTATTGCCTCCAGTCCTCTTTCCGGTGTGCAGCCCAGACACGCCTCTCTCTGCTGCTCCGTCCACTGAACCCTAACATCCCCTCTCCAGTGGCTCAGGTGAACTCCAGCCTCAGTGCTCAGGTCACATGACCTTGAACCAAAATGGTCTTGTGGACAGTTAGGAAACAAGTGATAAATGAGCCGGGCCCTCAATGGGCCTTTAGCTCCTTGTCTGTGAATATGGATACCCCAGACCTCCACATATGTATCAAAACAAAACAAAACAAAACAAAACAAAAAACAGAGCCTGGGATCAAGTGCTGGACAACCTTCTGTGAGTCCTATTTCTTCTCTGGGCTTCATTCAAAGAGGGTGGAGATCAAGTCAGGCAGGCATCCATTTACCCAAAGACAATCTTTTATTATTTTTTTGTAGGGAGGGACAAGGTATCCCCACATAGTCCTGGCTATTCTGGGCCAGGATGCCCTAAAACTTACAGAGATCCACCTGCCTCTGCCTCCCCAGTGGGGGGATTAAAGGGATGGTCTACCACACCTGGCCCCAAAGACAATCCGCTGGACCTGAATTCTCCCTATATTGCCTGAGTTTCCCAATTGTGGCCATGTCTGGGGGCTCCTCCAGGGCTCCTATGCAGTACCAGGCCCATGGCAAGCCTCAAAAGATGTTTGATGTACTAACATGTATACCCTGCTAGGAGCACTGCCCGACTCCATCGGCACTGGTCTTTCTCCCCACCGAATGGGTACTCTCCATTTCCTTGGCTGACTGAAGCCTCAGGGGGACTCAGATAGATGCCCCTATGTCTCCCAGCTCCCACTGGAGTCGCCTTGGGGATCGCTGTTAGCTGAATAAATATGAATGAATGCCTGTGGCTCTTCAACTCTTGAAATCCGTCTCATTCCTCAAGAGCCCAACATAAATATGCCATCCAGGAAGAGCTCTGTGATTCCTCAGGGAGAGCCCTCATGCTCTGCTCTAGGTGGCCGGTTTAGATGTCTATGGCACCCCTTTCACCTGACCTGGAGCTTCTGGATGGTACGATTAAAAGATTCACTTATTTGCATTTCCCGTGCGCACGTGTGCCCCTGTGTGAGTTTATGCGCACCGTGTGCACGCAGAAGCATCCAGAGAGGCCAGAAGAGGGCACTGGACCTCCCAGACTGGAGCTGGGGCAGCTGGGAGCTGCCATCTGGATGCTGGGAGCCAAACCAGGTCTTCTGCAAGAGCAGCAAATGCTCTTACCCACTGGGCCATCTCTTCAGTCCACAGGGTGTGATTTTTGTCTGTGTGACCCAGGACTGTGCCTTTCTGGGGTCGGGGGGAGGTCTGTGGAGAGGAAGTAGAAGGTTCTAAAGACATATAACAGATCCCTAGGAAGCCCAGTTTTTCCCAGCCGTGTCTTGACTACACATCTCCATGGACTGAGCCTCTGTTTCCTCATCTGGAGAAAAGGAAGAGTAAGAATTCATCAAAAGTTTCTCTTAGGGCTGCCTTGAGCTCCTTAGCACCTGACATGTAAAATAGCTTAAGATAGGCTGGGTGTGACTAAACTCACTTTTTTTTTTTCTTTAAGAATTACAAACCACTCTTCCTGACTTGGTGTCAGCCTCCCTGGCTGGGGCGGAGAAAGGACTGTCTGGTCGGGTGATATTTTTGAGGTCTTCCACTCCTGCATGACACCTAGTGTCCTAACAACCCTGCCTTGGCTTGCCCTAAGAGAAAAGTGGGAGTCCCAGGATAAGGTTCACAAAGGTGTTGTCCCTCGGGTACAAAAGTCCCTCTATCTTCTGGGACTCAGTTTCCCCGTTGGCAAACGAAGATGGTGATTATTAGCCTCCCTCTCTTATTGGCTAGAGGGAAGATTAGAGAGATACTGTGAAAGTGAGGCTTGGTGGCTCAGGCCTGAAATCCCAGCACTTGGAAAGTGAGGCAGGAGGAGTGTCCCAAATTTGAGGCCAGCTTGACTACAGAGTTCCAAGCCAGCCTGGGCTACAGAGTAAATTCCAGGCTAGTTTGAATTGTATAGTGAGACCAGGTCTCAAAAATAAAGAATGAATAAATAAATAAAACGAGAAAGAGAGCTGAAGGATTTAGAAGGGCTTGGAGGCATCCTGTGAGGACAAGTCCCTGCTCTTGTGAGATTTCTGGTCTAGACTAACAGAATAAATCAATAAATAGAGGTCACAGTGACGGAAGGAAGAGATTTCTGACAAGCTTCATGTCCAGTATTAGAGGTAAGAATCTGCAGGATCCTGCTTGAACCTCAGGCAAAAGCTGGGGTCCTTGGGTGGGGACTAGGGCTGGAATGCAGTGGTCATTGGCGGTGAGGAGCCCGGGGTCTGGAACCCGTAGGCTGCCCAGGGGCGGGCTGCGGAAGGTGTAATCTCTGACATGACAGGCACCCAAGAGCCCATCTCTCTGCTCAGCTCGGAAGCCTGGGGTCCTCCAACCAGGTGGTGTCTGGGTGCTGCACATCAACCATCCTTTCCTGCAGGCTTCCTCGGGACCTGTTCAAGGCTGACTTCTCCTTTTTCTCAGGCCTTAGCCCACTTGGCACCTTGCTACCACCCCCTCTAAAATGGACAACTCATTCTCCAAGGCGCTTCCCATTACATGATACTCTCTGAGATGACCCACATACTTGTTTGCTAATTTTCCCCCAGCGGATTCTTGATCTCTCTTCTTTTCACAATGAACTTGGTGAGGGAATGCTTGGTTCCTGGCTTGCTCCCTGACCCCTGACCCTCACCACACACACCACATTTCTCAAGAGCTTAGGATGACAGCGTACACAGTATTTGCTAAGCCGGTGAGGAAGGTGTGGCGGTACACAATTGTAATCCTGGTGCTGAGGACACAAAGGCACGACGGATGCTGCAGGTTTGAGACCAGCCTGGACTCTCCAAAAGGCATGAAAACTACGTCACTACCCACTGAGTTCCAGACTTGGGCTGCCAAGGATAGACTTGAGTTCTATCTCCTGGACCCACATAGTGGAAGTAGAGAGCTGACTCCCACAAATTGTCCTCTGACCCCAACACACAAATAAGTAAAATGGAATAGAAAATGTAATTTTTTTTTTTTTTTTTAGAAAGCAAAACAAGGAAAATTTAAAAAGGATCAAAAGTCAGAGCGAGGGTGACTAAGCTTCAACCCTGGCTGTTGTGTGCACTGCCCTCTCCCCTCCGGCTGCCCCAGGAACAAGAGGCATCCCTCCTACCAACTCACTCCCTCTGTTGGATTTTTTTGCTGCTGTTAGTTTTGTGGCAGGGTCTCAGGTAGCCCAGGCTGGCTCAGCAGCAGAGGATGACGAACCTCTGATCTTCCTGCCTCTGCCTTCCAAGTGCTGGGAATACAGGTGCACACGTACTTTACCAGCGTGGCTTAAAAGATTTGGGGGGACGGATGGTTAATTGTAGGTTCATAGTCCCATAGTCAGTGAGGTTTTGCTAAGTGTAAATATGCCAGCAACAGAGAAATGTGCTGACTTTATTCCTATTTTAGGAAGAAGCAGGCTTGCTTTGCTTTGCACTGAGAGTTGTGGGGAATGAGTCCGTGAAAGGGAGAGAAAGCTGGAGGAGAAGGATTCTCTGCTGCCTGGCTCCCGATCCATCAGCTTCTCTCAGGTGTGTGTATGAGAGAGAGCTGGGCTTGGGAGCCCACATCATAGTCCCAGGATCCAGGAAGAGGCAGAAGGGTGGCCTTCAGTTCAAGGCCAGCCTGGTCTATATATTCCAAGCCAGCTATGGCTACATATTGAGACGCTAGCTATAAAAAAGAAAGGAAGAAAGAAAGCAAGCAAGCTATGGTATGTGTTCCAGATTCATGCCCGTAATCACAGCATTTGGGAAGCTGAGGGAGGAAGATCCCTTGAATTGAAGGCCAGCTTGGACTACGTGGCGAGACTCTGACTGTATGTGACTATATGAGTCATGACTATATGTGAGGAAACTGGCGTCGGGGTTTTGGCTCATACATGCTCCTCATGAAAAACATGGATGAAAGAAAGGAGACACTATTTTGCATACAAAATGAGGTGGTTTCCCCTCTGAAGTAACAAGGGGATATGGACGGAGAAACTGCCCGACAGGTAGGTACATCTTGGCTCACCCCACTGGGTTCCACCTTCTCTCACTCTGTTCTCAGACTGGGTACCCAAGGCTGGAGACTTGATCAAGGTCAGATGACTTTGCCAGAGATCCCCGCTCTGACCCCGGGGAGGACCTGGAAGGCTTCCCTGACCCCGGGGAGCTGAGGGGAAGGAAGAAACAGGTGCTGAACTGAACAAGGGCACAGTGAGGGAGTGAGAAAAGAGGAGGGGCTCCAACCTTGCGGGATGCAGGGTTGGGGAGCTCGGTTTGAGAGGCAAGTGTGCCCCTGTGCTGACCCCAGCAGGGATGGAAAAACAGCCCAGAGAGTCGGAGATCCCAGAGACTGGAGGGGGAGCATAAATGAGCCAGAAGCAGGGACCTAAAGTGACAGGAGAGAAAGGCACCCAGCCAGTGGCCAGCAGCTCAGGCACTGCTCGGCCTTATACTGTAAGGGGTGGACTTTCTGGCCCGTTCAGTTCCCGGCAGAATCTGGACCCTCCCCCAGTGGGTCTGTATTTGGGTGCCTGCGTGGACAGGGGTGAGGTGTGACTCTGCAGTCTGCAGGTGCGTCCTGGCTGAGATGCTGTGATGTTTGTGAGGCTGTGGGTGACTTGATTGGAGGACCAGAATAGCTGCTTCCCTTGGGACTGCTGGGGTCACAATGTTAGGGACTACTGTCCCTGATGGCAGAGTGTGTCCCTGATTCTGGGATGCTTGGTTGGACAAGGCCTGGAGGAAGTGGTGTGGAAACACCGGATTAACACTTTCCTGGCTTCCTGGGTACCCACAGCTCAGCCTGCTGGCCCATCCCTCTCCCTCCTGTGCCCTCAGGACCATTTCCTTGACCCGTTGATTTGTACACTCTCCTTGACAGGCCCTGCAGGACAGACACATTCCACATACACACATCCTCAAGGCAGGACTGCAGTTACAGAGGGTCTCTAGGCCCCCTGGACTGGCTGAGACCAGTACCTGTATGACCCTGAATTAACTCTTTCCTGTCCTGCCTTCTCCAGCCCAGCCCCCACCCCTTCGTTTGTCTGTTTCTTCAATCAAAGACTTTAGATCAGAATCCTTACCCCAACACCTCAACTTTCTGGCTTTCCAGGACCATCTCCCAGTTAGCTGCAAACACCCCGAAGGCTGAGAGGGAAACCTGGAAGGCGAGTTTCAGCCCCTTCTCTGATTTTCCTGGGTCTGGGATATCCCTCTGTGAACACACTCTGTCCCCAGTGCTCGCTGACTGTGGGAACACATTCCCTCCTCCACCTTCACCTAAAGACGCAGAGCCCAGTCCCCAGGCAAGGACTGCGCAGGGAACCCGCTCCAAAACGCAAAGACAAGATCCCCTCCACAAACGGGGCATCATTCCAGGCCTGGTACCCCAACTCAGTTTGGAGACCCTGCCCGGGTGGGGACTGCCAACCCAGCGTCAGAGCGGCACAATCCTGCCACCCAAGGCCGGCAGCAGGTGTCGGCGACCCCCTTGCTAGTGATGGAGCCGCTGACCAGATGTGGACGGACGTGCATCCCTATGCCCAGCGCACATCCATGCACCCAAGGACCCCTTGCCCAGCCAAGGACTGCCGCCTAGGTCCCGGACTCCAGACCTCCGCATCCCCCCTGGAGGGTGGTGCTCCCTGCCTGCCCCCGACCCTGTCCTGTACCCCTTTCCCGGACCCCGGGGTTCCCCGCCGAGCCTCCCCCCACCCCGCCCCCGGCGCTGCGGTACCTCGGCTGATGACGGCCAGGCCGGCCAGGGCGGCGGCGGCGAGGAGCCGGAGCCGGGCCCCGGGCGCAGGGGGGGGCATCGCGGCGGCGCGGAGGGGGAGGGGAGGGGGCGGTCGGGGCGCGCGAGCCTGGGGGAGAGGGGGAGGGGGAGGGGGACCCCGCCTGCGGCTGCACCGGCCCGGGGGGCGGCGGGGGCGGGGGGAGGGGGCTGGGGGGGCGCGACGAGGGGGCCGGAGCTGCTGCAGACCCAGGGAGGGGGGTGGCGCTGACGGGCGGGGAGACCGGCCAATCGGGGCAGGCGGGGGGCCGCGGAGGCGGGGCCGGGGGGGTGTTGCTCCTTGGAGGGAGAGGCCTTTGTTACTGTGGCCCTGCCCCTCCTCCGCCCTCCCCCGGGCGACCGGCGTCCTCCCGATCTCCAGAACCCGGCCTGAGATGCACTTCATCCAACTGCCTCCTGCTGCAGGAGCCCAGCTCTCCTCCCAAAAGCCCGGTTCTGCCCCTCCTCCCTCACACCCAAGGTGTAGAGACCCTAGATTCTCCTCATCAATCATGGGAGTCTAGACCCAGTCTCCCTCAGACCCAGGTGCAAGAGCCCCAGCCTCCTTCCTCATACCTAGATGCACAGACCCCAGCCTCCTCGGTCAGACACTGGGAGTCCAGAGCCCAGCGTCCTCCCTTACATCCAGATGTCCAGCCCTCCTCTCTTAGATAGGGTCCAACCTCAGCTTCCTCCCCCAGACCCACCTCCCGTACAAAACAAATAAATGTAATAATTTACTTTATTGTAAGAGCCAGAGCTCTGAGCCTAAGTCAACTAAGCTAGACAGGGGGAAAATAGCTGTTCTCTTTTCATGTTTGTGGTGGAGGGGTGGAGGGGTATCCCCCTCCTTGGGATCAGGACAGCTGGCCTAAGCTGTAACAGAATTCACTGAACTGTAGGAGTATTGCAGGAGAATCTCTACATTGAACGCAAATCCTTGGTCTTGCCAGGCAAGAGATGTACCCCTTAACCAGCCGCCCACTCTTCAGCGGGGAGACAAGGCAGTGTGGGGACGCTAGGGACTGGGCACGCCTCTGTCTTCTCACTGGGGATTCTAGGCTGGTGTGTCACCTGAGTCACACCCAAGCCCCTCGAGGACTCTCACTGAGCCACACTCCCAGCTCTTGGGGATTCCGGGCAGGCAGCGTACCTGTAGCCCCAGCCTTAATGAATCCTTAATGTAGGCAAGTGAAAGCGTGGGAAACCAGCAAAGGGCAGCAGTCACCACTACTGTGTGACAGCACGGACAGGACAGCACGGGACACACAGGCCCCTCCCCCCACTGGCTACGGTGGACCGTTTCCTGTTCCTCAAAGTATATCAGGCTTGATGTTTACTAAATGCTGTTCTCACTGCTGTGAAAAATGTCTGACTCGGACGACTTAGGAAGGGTTTAACTTCTTTCCAACATCCTATTCTGAACAACTAAAATTAAAATCTCTCTAATTTCTGAAGTGTTTAACTTTCAATGACATTTTATTCAGCTTGGTGTGGTGTTGCCCACCTGTGATCCCAGCA